CTTTTTTATTTTGTTTAATTTTTTTTGTAGTTGTGTACGGACAGCATGCCTTTATTTTATTTGTTTATTTTCATGCAGTGCTAAGAAACCAGTGCTTCACACATGCTATGCCAGCACTCTGCCACTGAGCTACAGCCTCAGCCCCTTTATCTTTCTCATTGAAAGAGTCTTATCCACTTTTTTTTTTTGGTAGTTGAACACAAAACCTTTATTTTATTTGTTTATTTTTACGTGGTGCTGAGGATCGAACCCAGGGCCTCACATGCAGTAGAGCAGTGCAGCGCTCTACCTGAATGCTCTACTGCTGAACCACAACCCAAGCCCAAGTCTTATCCATTCTTTAGTTTTAACATACATGTTGTCGACTCCCAAATCTCAAGCCCTGACTTTGTCTTGACCTGAAAACCTACTTATTGGACAATTTTATCTAAACATCCTGCAGATGAATTTGGTGTGTTAGAAGGGGAAATAATCCTTTGTATTCTGCATATCCCTTAACAATATTACCTGCCCCTTAATTACTCATGCTTGAAACTTCAGAATCATCTTTTAGTTTTCCCTTTCGTCTACCCATATGCATTTAATTGCTAGTCCTGTCAATTTTACCTATATAGTGTTTTTTGTTGTTTCATGTTTGTTTTGTTTGCGTATCGCTTCAATCCCAACTTTCTTTATTTTTTTAATTTAATTTAATTTAATTTTTTTAGAGAGAGAGAATCTTTTTTTAATATTTATTTTTTAGTTTTCGGCGGACACAACATCTTTGTTTGTATGCGGTGCTGAGGATCGAACCCAGGCCGCATGCATGCCAGGCAAGCACACCACTGCTTGAGCCACATCCCCAGCCCTTTATTTTTTATCTTGAGACAAATACTCACTAAATTGCCAAGATTGGCCTGGAATTTAATTCTGCCTAACTGGGATTACAGGTGTGCACCGGTGTACCCAGCCAGTGCTCACTCTGGTTACTGGTTATGTCTTATAACTGATCTCCATAAGCCCCAGTCATTCATCTTCCACATTGCCACAAGGCCCCTGCCTAAAATCCTTTGCTTTTAGTAGAAGTCTAAGCTCCTTGTTATAAAATTGAAAACCTTTCCAATTTGGTCCCAGTATATCTCTGTTGATTTACTGCCTCAAATCTCATTGCTTTCTTGTCACTAAATATATATGCTTGTGTATGTTTGGCACTAGGGATCTAACTTGGGGCACTTTACCACTGAACTATATCCTTGGCCCTGTAAGATAGGGTCTGGGAAAGTTGCTGAGACTGGCCTCAAACTTGTGATCTTCCTGTCTGAGCCTCCTGGGATTACAGGGATGCACCACCATGTCCAGCATGCTTTGTGTTTATATATCTACCTTTTTTAAAAAAATTTTTTTAGTCGTAGGTGGACACAATACCTTTATTTCATTTTTATATGGTGTAAGGATCAAACCCAGTGCCTCACACGTGCTAGGTGAGCACTCTTATCACTGAGTCGCAACCCCAGAGCTTTACTCCTGCTCTTTGCTTTAAACAACCACTCTCTTAAAATCATTATGTTGACTTTTTTTTTTTTTTTTTTTTTGGTGCTGGGGATTGAACCCAGGGCCTTGGGCTTGTGAGACAAGCACTCTAGCAACTGAGCTATACCCCCAACCCCTTTGTTGACCTTTAAAATGATTTAAATGTCCCTTTCTCTGAAACCCTCTTGGCATCTTTCTTACTTTATCTTCTATGTCTTAGGCATAATTACTTGATCTTTCTTCTTGTAAACAGTTTTGGGGCATATCTCTAGTGTGACACATTATTTTCTGGCTTCTTATTGATATAGCTGCTTGACTTTCTAGACTATGAATTCCTGAAGGGCAGGAATAATTTCTGTCTGAAATTATTAGGCCCAGCACCTAACAGAAACCTTTTCTAGACTGGAATCCATAGCTACCTGCTGAATTAAATAAAGGAACAGCTTACTTTGTCTTTGTGGTCAGTAGGATCAAAGGTAAATCATTGGGGGGCTGGGGGTGTGGGTCAGTGGAAGCACACTTGCCTAGCATGTGTGAGGCACTGGGTTCAATTCTCAGCACCGCATAAAAATAAATAAAATAAAGGTCTATCAACAACTAAAAAAAAAAAAAAGTAAATTATTGGATCATTGCTGACTTGAATCAGGGAGCCCTAATGAAAGTCATTATGTAGAGGCTGGAGTTGTAGCTCAGTTGTGGAGCACTTGCACATGTGAGGCACTGGGTTCCATCCTCAGCAACACATAAATAAAATAAAGGTATTGTGTCCATCTGAAACTTAAAAAAATATGTTTTAAAAAGTTAGGTGGAATCTAGAAAGTCTTGACTCTTATGTGGTAGTCCTTTAGGACCTTCCTAATTCCTCAGTTACAGACTATTGCCACCACTACCATCCCACCTCTTTTTTTCTTTTCCACAGTCCTGATGATTGAACGTAGGACCTCATGAGTGCTAAGCAAGGATTTGACAACTGAGTACGTTCCCAGCCCTTTTATTTTATTTTTTAATTGTGGTACTAGGGATTGAACCCAGGGCCTTGCTCATGCCAGGCAAGCACTCAACCACTGAACTACATTCACATTCTGTTTATAAATTTTTACTTTTCGACAGCGTCTCACTAAGTTGTCCAGGCTAGCTTCAAACTTGTTATACCTTCTGCCTTAGCCTCCCAAGTGATTGGGCTTATAGGCATGTGTTACTACACCTAGCAGATTATTACACTTTTTATTATTGTCTCAACTCTTAAAACCTAACTACCCAGAGCAGGTGTAATTCCCGTCAATTGTTTCTTCCTTAGGAGTAGTTATTTAAAGCTTTCACTGAGGAGACTACCTCTTTGTCTCAACCTTACCCTGCTCTCACTAGGAGGAGACAGCCTCCTGAGACATACCAGACAAAAGAAGTTATTTGATCTTCAACTCCCACCCCCACCCCCACCTTAGACTTATCTTGGAGCAGCTGAAGGAAGATAGCTGGAACTAAGCACAACATTTCATGGACCTCACTGGCACAGCCCCACAGGCTCTTAGAAGGGCCCAAGAAAGGATGAGTAGCTGTCTCTAGTCCTAGTCATTCTACCAGCTTCTATTACACAATTATTGGAGCTTTTTACTCCCCTCCTGAAAGGCCTCAGCATGCTCAGAGAGTACTCAGACACTTACCACCACCCCACCCCTTCCCATCTAGCCAGTTTATTCTGACAAGCGTTTCCAGGAAGCCACTAGGGGGCAGAAAGCTTGAAAAATAGGGAACCAATCCCCTCTGACTAAATCTAATGGGACCCAGCTGCTCATAGTTGTGGAAATAATTACCTATGACTGGATACTTTGGGGAAGAATCTGGTGGAGTTGGGCTTCTGTCTGTTGCAACACAAGCCGTTGACCTTCTTCCAGCTCCTGCTGACATGCTCTTTACATACCCTATATTCTCCCTTCATATTTTATATTCGTAGAACTTAATACATAAAGGAGGTGTACTGTGTATATTAATCGTCAGAGAAGTTACTTTCTGCCTTCTTGCCCCAGCGCAGACTTTGTCCTATGTCTGCTGTCCTCTGGTGGTGATAGTTTGAACTGTACTCTACCTACCTTCTAGTAAGTGGTCTGCTGGCAGATAATGCTGGATATTTTTTCAGTAATCCAAATTCAAATTTTGAAATATGCATTTAATGGAAAAATTTTTCATTGCTGAATTTTGTATTCGTTTTCAGGCAGCATTACATAATACAAAGAATAGAGCCTGGTCTTTTGAGTCAGAATTACCTAGGTTCATATCACAGTTCTGCTGTTTTCTACTGACCTTGGGCAACTTACCTAAACTGAATTTTCTTGTCTATAAAGTGGAGATATAATAAACATCTCAGCGGGGGAATTAGATGATTGTAAAATGCATAGCCCCAACTACCCTAGCACATAGTAGGTGCTCAATAAAAAGTTGTAATTGCTTCAATAATGGTAATTTGCTCAGTGTGTGAATCCATGTGATTTTTGTTTCTTTCTTTGTTTTGTAGTGCTGGGGATCGAACCCACAACCTCACATATGCTAGGCAAGTGCTCTACTACTAAGTTATATCCCCAGCTGTTTTATTATTATGGTAAAATACACATAAAAAATTAACCATTGTAACTATTTTCAGTGTCATTTTTTTTTAACTCTGAGAAATTTTATGTACTTTTTGACCCTTGAGTTTGAAAAATGAGGTAAAATCTAGTATGGGGTATGAGGCCTCCCTCTGCCCAGGAAGCTGTAGATCTGAGCCCTGAATACATGAGTTACAGGGGATCTTGGGCAAAGCTAAATGGCTCTAGGTATTTGACCTTGCTTTGGTTTCTAGCCTGAGAAAGGCTGACTGGATCCTGCACCTTCTTCCAAGGTCAGCAAAGGGCAGAGATTTGAAGTTAGGTATCACTGGATTCTCAGCTGGGCCTCCAAATCCCCCTCCTCCTGCTCTTCAGAGAAAAGAGGAGGTGGCTAAAGAGAGGAGGATATGAGATTGGTTCTCTGCTCCTCCCTTTCTTTCCCTGTTTTCCTCATACCCACTCTCTCCCCCACAGCAGCCTTCTCCCCCACAGAGAGACTGGGATAGGACAGAGGGGGTGGAGTTGGGGACTCAAGGCTTGGAATCTCCATAGTGCCCTGTATCTGAAGGGAGCTTTGCTCTGGGGCAGCTGTGCTGGCTTATGCTGTCCTCCTCCTGCTGCTGCCATCCTTCAACAAGATGCTGGGGAGATTGGGACTTTGGGCATTGCTTCCTACAGCTGTACAAGGTGAGTGTTTATAGGGAGGGGCAGGATCTTTCCACCCACTCAGTGAGCAAAAAGGACTCTTGAAGCAGAAGCCATCACTTTGGAAGAGTGGTGAGTGAGCTGGATGAGTGAGGGTGAAGGGTAGTCATGTGTCCCTGTGGTGGCATCAGGTTCCAGGCCTCTGCTGACCTGGGTTTCCCTTGTGGCTTTACTGACCCTGGGAAATGAAAATCATGTTTTGTCTATCCTTTTGCCCCCACATTCACACCCTTCTTGAATCCTTCCCTTTCCCCACCCTGGGTTTCAGCACCACCAAACAGGAGGACCTGTGTGTTCTTTGAGGCCCCTGGAGTGCGGGGAAGCACAAAGACACTGGGGGAGCTGCTAGATGCAGGACCAGGGCCTCCCAGGGTTATTCGCTGCCTCTACAGTCACTGCTGCTTTGGGATCTGGAACCTGACCCAAGGCCGGGCACAGGTGGAAATGCAAGGTGAATGGCAAAGTATATGGCAAGTGATAGTTAGGGTGGGAGACAGGAATGTCCTGGGGGAGAAGGGGAGAGATGGAAATGTGTGGAGGAAAAGAAAAGCCTATGTGAAATAGAAGGATGCTTCTCGCAGAGAAGGGAGTTATCCTTTCTGATTCCAGACCCCATTTTGTCCTCTCCCTTGTTCCTTCTATTCTACTCTTCCCCTAATCCTACCCCATCAGGATGCCGAGACAGTGATGAGCCAGGCTGTGAATCCCTCCACTGTGACCTGAGTCCCCGAGCCCATCCCAGCCCTGGCTCCACTCTCTTCACCTGCTCCTGTGGCACTGACTTTTGCAATGCCAATTACAGCCATCTGCCTTCTCCAGGGAACCTGGGGGTTCCTGACCCCCAAGGTACCCAGGCTACCCCAGGTAATTACTGGCTAGAGCCCCATCCTGAGGCCCAGGTAAGGAGGAGAGGTAGAACCAGGTCTAGTTCTCACCCTACCCCCTCCATAAGCTTTCCTCCTCCTGGCCTTGGGAAGCTGGTTGCCCTGGTGACAGAGAGATAAGGGGGCTTGTGACTAGGATGGGGGTGGGTTGAGAAGCAAGCTCTCTGAGCAGGGGAGAGGTGCAGAGAGCAGTTTGGGGCAATGTTCACCCACCTCTGTTCTTGTCTTAATGACCAGGCGAGTCCATCTGGATGGCATTGGTGCTGTTGGGGCTGCTTCTCCTCCTCCTGCTTCTACTGAGCAGCATCATCTTGGGTACTAATTTGCCCCATCTCTCCCTTATGACCAAGATACTGCCCTCAAGCTCTGAGTCTCTTGTCACCACTGACCCCACATTCCTGAGATCTCTATACACTGTCTTTCATGACCTCCATAGACAACTCCCTTCCTGCAAAGTCCCCTTCCCTTGTCCCCATGCCTATACACCCTGACCTTCAGGTTCTTCTCTGCAACCAGCCCTGCTGCAGCGAAAAGCCTACAGAGTGCAAGGTGGGCCACAGCCAGAGCCAAACTCAGGCAGGGACTGGAGTGAGGAGCTGCCGGAGCTGCCGGAGCTGCCGGTGCTGCCAGAGCTGTGCTTCTCCCAGGTGCCCCCTGGAGGGAGGAAGGGCTCCTCTGGGCATTCCAGGAGGTTATACTGGGGAGAAAATCTGGCCCTGGTGTTAGTTCGGAGGCCTGCACCCAGCACAGTGTTCCCACTAGGTAATCCAAGAAGGAAGTCACGCAGTGATGTGGGCCGGGAGGCTGCAAGGCGAGCTGGTAGCCATCAAGGCCTTCCCTCCAAGGGCTGTGGCCCAGTTCCGAGCCGAAAGAGCAGTTTATGAGCTGCCAGGCCTACAGCATGACCACATTGTCCGCTTTATTACTGCTGGCCAGGGGGGCCCTGGCTCCCTGCCCTCTGGGCCCCTGCTGATACTGGAATTGCATCCCAAGGTGAGGACTAAGGAGTGTGTGTGTGTGTGTGTGTATGTGTGTGGGAGTTGGGGGAGGTTGCATGGCAGGGGGCTGGCTATATACACTTATTCTTCTGCTTTAGATTTTCTCTTCCTTAAAGCAATTTTTTTTTTTAACTGAGGATTGAACAGTGCTTTACCACTGAGCCATATCCCCAAACCTTTTTATTTTTTTATTTTGAGACAGGGTCTCATTAAGTTGATTAGGGTCTTGCTAAATTGAAGAGGCTTGCCTCAAACTTGCGATCCTCCTGCCTCAGCCTTCACTGGGATTACAGTCATACACCACCATGTGTGGCTTGTCTTTTTCTTTTTTATTACACAAGTAATGCACACTTTTTTTTTTTTTTTTTTTTGAGATGGGCTCTCTCCCTATGTTCCCCAGGCTGGCCCTGAACTCTTGGGCACAGTGATTTTCCTGCCTCATTGCCCAAGTAGCTGGGACTGCAGGTGTATACCATCCACCTGGCTCATGTTAATATTTTTAACCCTTAAAATATAGATAAGGGAAGGGAGAAACCAAACAGTTAATATTCCCAACCTTAAAGAAAACCATTGTCGGGCTGGGGATGTGGCTCAAGTGGTAGCGCGCTCGCCTGGCATGCGTGCAGCCCAGGTTCAGTCCTCAGCACCACATACAAACAAAGATGTTGTGTCCGCCGAAAACTAAAAAATAAATATTAAAATTCTCTCTCTCTCTCTCTTTTTAAAAAAAGAAAAAAAGAAAACCATTGTTAAAGAAATAGCTCACCCAATACAGTGGCAAAAACTTGTAATCCCAGCCAGTTGGGAAACTGAAGCAGGGGGATTACAAATTGAAGGCCAGCCTGGGCAATTTAGCAAGACCCTGTCTTAAAATAAAAAATAAAAAGGGCTGGGGCTATAGCAAAGTGGTAAAGTGCCCCTGGGTTCAATCCCCAGTATGGTGGGGGTGGGGGTGGATAAAAAGACTGGAGGTATAAGTGTCATATGTCAAATGTACTAAAATCTAAAAGGGAGGGCCCTGAGGTGAAGAACAATGAGTTGCAGGATAAAGAGGGGGAAGTAGGCAGAGGCCAGAGCACACTGGGCCTTGTCTGTCTACTAAAGGTTGGGATTGTTTTTTTTGGTTTCTATAGCATTTCCCATCTAATAGGCATTGTATTAAGCACTTTAGACACATTTTCATACTTAATATTCATATGCTATGAGGTAGGAATTACTATCCACAGAGGCTCAGGAAAGAAAGTCATTTTCCCAGGATCGGTGTGACTCTAGAGTTGCTTTTCTCCTGTTCACCCCAAAAGCAGGACTCTTCCACCTGTGTGTAAGAGCTCCATTATCCAAGTCCTTTTCCTCTTGTAGTTCAACCTCTTCAACCTGTTTTGGTGCCCAAATGCAGTAGTCCTTCCCTGGATTTTATCAGCCCCTACAGCTCCTCTATCTCTGAGATCTTGAATTCTGGAAAGTCCCCCCTTTGACCATGTTCCTCCTGACCCTGCTCAAAAATCACTTTTTGTTCCTTTAACTGTGTCTGACTTCCCCTAGATAGTTAGTGGGTTTTGCTTCACATCTACGGCACTTTTTCCCCCCCATTGTGGTATTTATTGCATTCTATGCTTATATGTTATCATTATGTCTCACCTGTCCCTGAGCTACCTTGGTGTCTCAATACAGTTGCTGGTATACCAAAGGTGCTCAAAAATGTTTGTTGGGGGCTGGGGATGTGGCTCAAGCGGTAGCACGCTCGCCTGGCATGCGTGTGGCCCGGGTTTGATCCTCAGCACCACATACAAACAAAGATGTTGTATCCACTGAAAACTACAAAATAAATATTAAAAAATTAAAAAAAAAATGTTTGTTGAATGGGGGGCTCTATTGCTCCTTTGCCTCCAGTTCCTTATCTGCTGCTCCTATCCACCAGGTCTACCTATCCATGTCTACAGAGACCTGACACTTCAAGCAAGGTAGTTCATGAGAGAGGCCCCTGAATAACTTTCCTCTTCTCTTTGTATCAAGTTCTCTGAGTTGGCATAAGGTGGTGGTTAATAGTGGGTGATTCGTGAGTCAGACTGCTTGGATCTGTGCCCCACTTGTCACCAACTGACCTTAAGCAAGTTTACTTAACTTCCTCTAAGCTCTTCCTCTGTAAAATAGAGGTGATCAGAATACTTCCCTTGTAAGGTCATCATGAAGATTTCAGAGGCCAGTGCACATGGCCTGGGCCACAATATGCACTCAGTTATGTTGACTTGAAGTTCCTTCCTTCCTTCCTTTCTGTAGTTGTGGATGGACAGAATGCCTTTATTTTATTTGTTTATTTTTATGTGGTGCTGAGGATAGAACCCAGTGCCTCACACATGCAAAGCAAGCGCTCTGCCACTGAACTACAGTCCCAACTACTGGAGTTACTATTTTTCACATCAGTCTCACTGATGCTCATTCTTACTCCTCCACTGCCTGTTGTTGTTTTGGTCTGGACCTGTCAGGGTGTCTGTCTGCAGGGCAGGTTTGGAAAGAGATCTGTCAACTGATCCCTACTCTCTGTGATTTATCAGTCAGTCACCCCTCTTCTCTCTGTTTTCCTCAGGGCTCTCTGTGCCACTACTTGACCCAGCACACCAGTGACTGGGGAAGTTCCTTGCGGATGGCACTCTCCCTGGCCCGGGGCCTGGCATTTCTGCATGAGGAACGCTGGCAGGATGGTGGGTGAACCGGCTGCCAAGGGAGTCAGGAACCACACTACTGTGTCCAATTCTCCCTTAGCTTGGAAGGGAAAGATTGGGTCAAAAGAGTAAGGAAGACCCATATCTCTTCAACCTTGGATTTTCTCACAGGCCAGTATAAACCAGGTATTGCCCACCGAGATCTGAGCAGCCAGAATGTGCTCATTCGGGAAGACAGGTCATGTGCAATTGGAGATCTAGGCCTAGCCTTGGTGCTCCCTGGTTTCAGTGGGTCCCCTGCCTGGGCTCCTTCTCAATCCCAAGGCCCAGCTACCATCATGGAGGTGAGTACTATGGGTAAGGGTAAGGGACAGGATGATGGTGGTAGCATTGTGACTATCACTATGGCAGTAGTGCTAATGCAGCAGTGCCTGAGGTGGTAGGGACATTGCTGAGTCTATGGTGGGGGGCATTATGTTGCATGAATTAGGGATGCAATGAGGGTTGCCACAGAGATGATTCTTGGCCCTCCACACCTTGCTCTCCAGGCTGGCACCCAAAGGTACATGGCGCCAGAACTCTTGGACAAGACTCTGGACCTCCAGGATTGGGGCACAGCCCTTCGGCGAGCAGATGTTTACTCTCTGGCTCTGCTCCTATGGGAGATCATGAGCCGCTGCCCCGATTTGAGCCCTGGTAAATTTTTTACTCCTGGTGCCCCACTCACCCCTTCTAGGCTTACTGACTTGGTTCCAGAAAGCTGTGACCTTCTTTCCCTGCCTTCACTACATGGGAGGCACCTCAGGGCAAGCTGACATCTATTCCTTGTACCTTCCCCCAGATGGCAGACCATCACCTTTCCAACTGGCCTATGAGGCAGAATTGGGCAGCACTCCCACCACCTGTGAGCTATGGGCCTTGGTAGTAGAGGAGAGGAGGCGCCCTTATATCCCATCTACCTGGATATCCTTTGTTACAGTAAGAGGCCACTTCTAGCCAGCTGGGGACTGGGTATGGGCTTCAAGGACTTCTCTTCCAGGACCAGTCTATCTATTCCTGCCTCCTCTCATCTCTCACCACTCCCTGGTTCATGTTCCTCTGAAACTAGAAAAACTGAAGAGGTCCTCAGTTGACCCTCTTTCACCCTAAGTCTCATACACCCCATTCCATCCACAACTTTCCTGCTCAAGTCTCTCTGTATTCTCCACCATCAATTAGCCCTGTTCCTCATTTCAGCAGATCATCCCTGACTTTGCTTCTTTTCTGGGCTCTGCTTCCAAGATGGTGCCTCCCCTGGTATGTTGGAACCCAAAATCTAACCAGTGACTTCTTGTTGTGTCTCATACATCTGTATTTCTGATGCAACCCAATAAAAGTCAGTTCTAGATAGCTCAGTAATAGATCACATGCTTAGCATGTTCAAAACCCTGGGTTCAATCCCTAGCACTGCAAAAAAAAAAAAAAAAGGAAAGGAAAGAAACAGAAAATAGGTGTGGCTGGTGCAGTGGTGCACTCCTGTAATCCTAGCAACTTAGAAGGCTAAGGGAGAAGGGTTACAAGTTTGAGGACCATCTTGGCAATTTAGTGAGACCCTGTCTCAAAATAAATAGATATGTAAAAAGGGCTGGGGGTGTAGTTCGGTGGTAAAGTGCCCAGTGAAACAACAACAAAACACAGACAAAAACAGGAGTAGTAGACATTGAAGATGGAAGATGCCTTTTAACCTTGGGGTCTACTCAAGATCCCAGGGTCAAGCCTGCTTCCCTGTCATTCCTCCGAGGACCCTGGTGGACTAAGGGAGCTCTTGGAAGACTGCTGGGATGCTGATCCAGAAGCACGACTGACAGCTGAGTGTGTACAGCAGCGCCTGGCTGTCCTGGCTCATCCTCAGGAGGCCTACCCCTTCCAAGAGAATTATACACACAGCTGCCTACCTCTCTGCCCAGAAGACTGTACCTCCACTCCTACCCCTGCCATTCTCCCCTGTGGCCTCAGCTGAGGGCCTGTCACTTCAGTATTCATTAAGGCCTTGATTCCAGGAATCCTTAGTTTTATCTTAGTTCTCATGTATAAATGAGCAGTTTATGTGAAATCTATGTTCATGTAAACATAAATGTGATCATGTGCCTATTTGGGCTGCCTCATGACTACCTTTCCCACTTGCTGAATCTGGGATTATTCTGTGGCATCTGGTTCACAGCAGTTCTGACCAGTGAATAGTGGTAGATGTGCACAGGAAAAAGAATAAAGTGAGCTTTCCAGATTTTTATCCTTGGCCTTCCACCTTTCATGTGACCCTGGGCCCTCCCTTCTCTCTCTCCTTTCTCCACTTTTTTTTTTTTAAATGGTGGTATCTCACTGAGTACTGTGGTACACACCTATAATCCAGCACTCAGAAGACTGAGGCAGGAGTATTGCAAATAAGGGCTGGAGATGTAGCTCAGTGGTTAAGTTCCCCTGGGTTCAATTCCTAATACCAAAAAATAAAAAAAGATAAAGGGCTGTGAATGTAGTTCAGTGTTAAAGCACCCTGGGTTCAATTCCCAGTGCCAAATGAATGAATGAATGAATAGATAGATAGATAGATAAATAAGTGATGGGATCTCCTTCTGGGCACTGGGGAAAGAAGAGTGAACACAATGAGGTCACTGTACCTGAAGGTGCTCAGTAACCTGCAGCTCATATTGTAGGCTCTGTACAGGGTGGTGGAGTAATAGGGAAGCCTTAAGCAGGGGACTTCATAGAGCATGGTATGGGTCTTGCTTGAGCAGGAGTTTCCCAAGAACATGGGGCAATAGGACATTCCTGGCCTCCGTAAGGGGTAGTAGCATACAGTATACAAAGAGAACACAGGTAATTTGGATAGCAAAAATGTAAGATGCATGGTGGGGAGACAAGGGAAGGGATGCAAAGAATAACAGGTAATGTTTTGTGAGCCCTGATAAGAAGTTCTTCCTCCATTTATTTATTTATTTTTGTACCTACTTTCCCACTTCAACCTAAGCTGAACACCACTTTCTGGATAATCTTTAAACATAATGTACACTACATCTTGCCTCTGCTTAACAGTCCACTTTAATTTTCCATTATAATTCTGCTAACACCATTTACAGAGGAGAAAACCAAGGGCTCAAGAAGTTCAGAAATGTGTCTAAGATCACATAGGTCACACAACTTTTAGATAACAAAGCAAGGGAGCCAGGTGTGAGTCACTTCTGAGTCACTTTGATAATCCCAGTGACTCAGAAGTTTGAGGCAAAAGGATCATAAATTTGAGGCCAGCCTCAGCAATTTAGTAAGACCCTGCCCAAAATTAAAAAAAAAAAAATTACATAGGACTGGGGATGTGGCTCAGTGCTACAGTGCTTCTGGGTTCAATCCCCAGTGCTGCAAAATAAATGAATGAATGAATAAATAAATAAAAATAAACAAAACAACAATAAAAAAAAAAGCAAGTCATTAAAAATGTTTTACAGGGAGTGGTGGCACTTGCTTATCTATAATCCCAGTGGCTCAGGAGGCTGAGGCAGGAAGATTGCAAGTTGAAAACCAACTTCAGCAATTTAGCAACTACCTAAGCAACTCAGTAAGATCCTGTCTCTAAATTAAATGTAAAACAAGGCTGAGTTTATGGCTCAGTGGTTAAAGCCCCTGGGTTTAATCCCCAGTAGGGGGAGGGGGGAGGGGGCTCTTAAAAGCTGGGTGCAGTGGCAAAAACATCTGTAATCCTAGCTACTTGGAAGGCTGAGGCAGGAGAATGCTTGAATCTAGAAGTTCTTGGCCAACCTAAGCAATATAATGAGAACCTGTCTCAAAAAAAAAAAAAAATCATCTTTATGAAAACCCTGTAAATTATGAGAAATGAATGTACAAAGGAATGTACAAACATGTTGATGAGCATAGACTATGTTAGATAAACAAATCCACCTATGATCACAAGAGAGACAAGTTCCAATTGACAGACATTTTACAAAATACTTGACCAGGTACTCAAACCATCAAGGTCATCAAAAACAAAAATCTGAGAAACTATTACAACTGATTAACAAAAAAGATTGTATGATTCAGCTTGACATGACTGCTGACATTTTGAGCTATAACTACTATGATTGCCTCAGTGTAATTCTAGATAATTTTTTGTTTGTTTTTTCTTTTGGTACAAGGGATTGAACCAAGGGGTGCTTAACCACTGAGTCACATCCCCAGCCCTTTTTAAATATTTTATTTACAGATAGGGTCTCACTGACTTGCTTAGGGCCTTGCTAAATTGCTGAGGCTGGCTTTGAACTCCAGACCCTCCTGCCTCAGCCTCCAAGCTGTTGGGATTACAGGCATGTGCCACCATGCCTGGTTCTACCTGCACAGTTTTTGTTCTTCTTTTTTTTTTTTTGGTTTGGTACTGGGGATTGAACCAAGGGCATTTTACCACTGTGCTACACCCCCAGCCATTTTTTGAGACAGGATCTTGCTGAATTGCTTAGGGCCTTGCTAAATTGCTGAGGTTGGGTTTGAAGTTGTGATCCTCCTACCTCAGTTTCCAGAGTCTCTGGGCTTACAGGCCTGCACCACTAGCCTAGCCTCCTGCATACTTTTCAAGCACACTATAAATAGAACTATTAGTGTGGTATGTGGAACTTTACAACCTGATCCTGGCTCTGGGAATATGTCTGACTCTTTGATATTAGCTTAAGATAAATCAGGTACTCCAGCTGGAATGAGTCACTTTTATTATAAAGCTCATAGACATGTCCCATGATCCAAATTGTGGGCACCCAACTGTACATTGAGGCTGGTCCTGATACACTAGGATTGGGTTGTTCTGGAACACGGAAATGGAGCCAAAACTAAATAAATCTGAATAAAGCATGGACTTTCATTAATAAATCAATATTGATTCATTGGGGCTTGGGTGTATTTTAGTGGTAGAGTGTGTACTTAGCATGTGTGAAGTCCTGGGTTCAATCTCCAGCATCACCCCATATACTCACTGGCACAACACATGCATGAAACTGGTTTACTAATTTTCTAGCAAACATATCATTACTCCTGTAAGATGTTTATAATAGGGGAATTGTATGGAAACTCTCTGTACTATTGTCATAATTTTTCTGAAAATCTGAGATGATTATAAAAATAAAATTCATCTAAAAACATATGGTAGTAGGCTGGGTTGTGGCTCAGTGGTAGAGTGCTTGGCTAGCATGTTGTGAGGCACTGAGTTTGACTCTCAGCATCAGCACTGCATATAAATAAATAAAATAAAGGTCCATTGACTACTAAAACAAAACAAAAAAAAATTAAAAACAAAAATAAAACACATGGGAGTGCTGGGTTTGGTGACATATGCCTGTAATCCCAGAGGCTGAGCTGGGAGGATTGCAAATTTAAGACCAGCCTTGGCAATTTAATAAAACTGTAAGCAATTTAGTGAGACCCTGTCTCAAAATATAAAGGTTTGGGGACATAGCTCAATGATAAAATCCCCCTGGATTCAATTCCTGGTACAAATAAACAACAACAACAACAAAAAATTAGAGGGACAGGCGTGGTGATGCATATCTGTAATCTCAGCAACTTTGGAGGATGAAGCAGGATGATCACATGTTGAGGCCAGCCTGGGCAACACAGCAAGACTGTGACTCAAAAGATGCAAAGGGCTGGGAATGTAGTTGCTCATTGATAGAATTCTCTCTGGGTTTAATTCCTAGTACCAACAAAACAAAACAAAAACAATATCACAAAACAAAACATATGAGAGTGCAGGGCCCCATATATGTAATTCCAGCTACTTGGAAGCTGAAGCAGAAGGATAGGTAGCAAATTCAAGGCCATCTTGGACAATTTAGTGAGAATCTCTCAAAATAAAATTAACAAGCATAATAAAAAAGGGCTGGGGATGTAGCTCAGTACTAGAGAGCTTGTGTAGTATGTTCAAGGCCCTGGGCTTAATGTTTGTTTTGGTCAGAGAGTATGGTATGTATTATACAATTCTTCAAAATTTGAATTACCTCAGTTGAGAAATGCTTGCCTTAGAATGTGACTGATTTTTATTTATGATCTCAGTGTGCTTAATAAGAATGAGCCTAGCTGGCATGATGGTGTAGGCCTGTAATCCCAACAATTTGGGAGGCTGAGACAGGAGGATCTCAAATTCAAGGCCAGCCTCAAAAAATTAATGTGATCCTGTCTCAAATTAAAAAAGAAAACAAATTGGGGCTGAGGATGTAGCTCTGTGGTAAAGTGCCCCCTTGGATTCAATCCCTGGTACAAAAATAAGTTTGTGTGTGGGGATACTGAACAGGTTATCAGGACTGTGGCACATGCCTGTAATCCCAGTGACTCAGGAGGCTGAGGCAAGAGGATTGCAAGTTTGAGGCCAGACTCAGCAATTTAGCAAGACCTTAGCTCCCTCTCTTCCCCTCCCCCTTCCCCTCCCTCCTCCCCTCTCGGTTGGGCTTGAAGTTGTGATCTTCTTAGAGAGAGAGAGAGAAAGAGAGAAGTGGGTGGTGGTTGGGAATGTAGCTCAGTAGTAAAATGCCCTCAGATTCAATCCCTACTTTAAGAAAAAAAGAAAAAAGAAATGAAGGATAAGGCTGGGATATACAGCTCAGTGATAGAGTGCTTGTTTAGTATATGTGATGTCCTGGGTTCAACCCCCAATACTGCAAAGAAAAAAAAAAAAACAAAAAACAGTCCTTAAGTTTTGGGTCTAGGGGCTGGGGATGTGGCTCAAGCGGTAGCGCGCTCGCCTGGCATGCGTGCGGCCCGGGTTGGATCCTTAGCACCACATACAAACAAAGATGTTGTGCCCGCCGATAACTAAAAAATAAATATTAAAAATTAAAAAAAAAAGTTTTGGGTCTATGGTTCTATGTATTCATTAGATCAAGTTTGTTGATTGTGTTGTTTAAAAAACAAAGAAAAGGCTATTGCAGCAATCCAGGAGAGATGATGGCTGGTTGGGAGAGAGGAAGATAGAAGTGGAAGGATTCTAGATGTATTTGGGAGACAAAAGGGATAGTAATGTTGCCTTGGGGGTCGGTGGGAGAGAGAAAACTGAAGGAGAGGAGGCAAGGTAAACTGGAGAGACGGGGTGCGGGGGGAGGGGGGGAAGCTATGCAAGTGAGACAGGAAACCTGGGAGAGATTAGGATCTGTCTTTTCCCAAGTATGTTTCTTTGCTTCACATACTGGAGAAGAGGGAGCTGGCAATATTGGGACTTGGGGTTGGGATTCAACAGCTTCTCGTCCTTTTCTAGAGCTCGCAATA